AAAGAAGGCAGCATCAAGCCAATTAATCTTCTGATTACTACAGAGTGATATAAAAAGCCCAATCCAAGGTGATAGAAATTGTGACATTACTTCAAGACATGTGCAGAACCGCCATGTCAACATTGCAGCCGGGTACAGCTGTAATTGGGAGTTGTTTGCAGCCAGCTGGCACAGAAGATAGCGTCCTCAGCTGGAAAAGTTTGCTGCAGGAGAGATGAGCTGTCAAACCAGCGCACAGCATTGGATAGTGAGACTAGCGCCAGTCTCTAACAAGTCACTTCCTGGGAAGTTGGTATGTTGTTGAGGGCTATTTCCTGTCTAAAAGACCAGGGCTGTAGTGAATAGGGTTAACTTGTTAACACGCATGCACTTACTGTAATGTATTTGTTGTTTTCTTTCTAGTGTCAGTCTGCCTGAGTGTGTTGTGTGTGTGCACAAATGTCTCTCTCTCCCCCTTTTCTTTCTCACCACTCTCCTCCTGGCTCCCTACAGACTGAGCAGGAAAGATCTGACTAAAGTGCTGCCAGTCACAACAGCAGATGCTCATGTTTCCTCTGCTCTCCCATGCCTCCCTACACATCAGTAAGATTGCAGGTGTGTGTGCGTGTGGGTGTGTGTGTGTGGATGTGTGTTCTGTCCTGGCAGGACTAGATGCTCTAATCAGACTGCCAGGAACGTGTGTCAGGAAAGATCATACCTCTCTGTATGTTTTGAGTGTTTAAAATCAGTTAACCAGTGTTCTTGGATGGCAGACATAAAGGATGTTTTTGGGCAGCTAAGGTAGATTTCTGTATTGCACATGTATTTGTGCCCAAACCCTCCTCCTGTGTTCAGACATGAAGCCTCATCTAAAACAGACACATTTGTCCTCCATTATAAACTTGGTGAAAGCTGTGACTGATCACTGGAAAGCCAGCACTCCCACTATCATCCTGTAACAACACACCAAAGATAGTATAGAAAATCCAAAAAAGCTGTGTTCAAGAGCTGTTGCTGGTGCTGAGAACAGAGCAAGAGGGATCAGGTTACCTCTTTGTCTCTACTTGGGTAAATGTGTTTGTATAATAGACAAATACACACATGGATCACATCACATTTTTTAAAATATTCTCAGGCATACACTGTAGCAAAAATGTCTTTCTGTTTTTCAATCCCTTCATACTTTCAATCACTTATATATGTATTTTCTAGTACTTTTTGGTTCAAGTTTATACATGCGGTGATGTGGTTTATACTTGCTCTTGGTTTATTTACACAAGTACTTATCTCATTTTTTGTTACAAACATCATCATCTTTGTGTAGTGACATCAGTAGGAGATTTACAGCATTACAGTGGATTTATGGGGGATCTGCTATGTAGTGGTCACTTTCAGCTTGTTAAAAATGTTTCCCACTTGCTCATTGTTAGTAATACAGCCCAGTTTTCTCTGTTGTTTCTATCTGTCTCTTCCTAATACTTGATATTTTCTGTGCATCAATAGTAAACCATATTTAGTTACAGGTCTTCTCTACTCCAATAACTGCATATGTTAATAATAATAATTAATAATATAAGTGTAATTGACAATGATAAAACAAAGCGTTTTGCCCCAACCAGCTTCTTAAAACAAATAGATAGCACCAGAGTTATGTGTGTTTTTAGCACAGGAATCACAGGCTGATTCTTTTCTCTCAGGCATCAAGCTACACAGCATGAACCAGGCATAGATTACCTTCATTATCTGTTCTGTAACTCAGCAATATGCTCTCATTAGTCATTTTATAGCAGCTTGCTGATATCATAAAATTGAATGCCAGCTCATTAGCAAGTCCATATTTTTGTAATGCTTATTTATTTTCCTTAATTACTGCACTTTCTGGTGAGGCTTTGTAGTTTTTTATGAGTTTGGAATGCATCACAACTTATTATTTTTTCATGTGGCAGTTTCAGGTGTAAACCTTGTGAAACACCGTAAATCTGACACCAGCTAAAAGTGTGACAAAACTGTGCTGCGAGACTGTGGTTTTAACATAAAAGACCAGTGGAAGTGGAAGTGCTACAGCTGCTGACCTTTGACCCTTTGACCTCTTGATCTGCCGTAGAGATGCTCATTAATGAATGCCCATTCTTCTGTATATGTGTGTGTGTTTGTGGACAGGTGTGTGTGCGCATGTACAGCTGCTGGAAATCTGTCCTGACAGCTGTAACTGTTGGCTCAGAGGAGTCAAAGACAGGGTCAGCAGGTCTCACCTGCAAATAAATGACTTCTAGTTAAATAACAAACAATTTGTTGACATTTCTGCATTAAAAAATACTTATTTTACCTGCATGAATGATTCTGCAGTCATTAAAGTAAAGGAAACCTTTCTTTGTTTATCTATGGTAATGTCTAAGCAGACCAAATAAAGGAATGAAAAAAGGAAAAAGAAACAACGGATTACATTCAGAATTGGAGAAGAATAGCAAGTCAGAGGAGATTGATAGAAATCTATAGTCTAGGGTACATTTTCATGTATAAATGAAGCACACGTGCAGCATTTTCAACATGTAAAGTGGCATTATTCTGTGAGAATGTGTGTACCTCCACATGTGTGCTCCCTCTGGAGAGTTTTAACTTAAGCAGTGCATGCTGGGAAGTCCACTAATATGCTGCTCATGTTTCTTTACAAACTTAATTTAATGAGTTCAGTGAATTCTCAGCAGTAAATTAATTTAATAAATCATTCCTAGTCAAAATAATTTCGGGTGAGTGGAACTCATGTTTTTGAAGTAGCCTGAAAGGGAAAATGATTACTCATAGACATTATAAGTTGAATTAACTTGAAATAATTAAAACGTATACATTTACATTAATGATACTTAAGTTAATGATAAAAGCTTAGTGGATTCCACCAAATTCCTATATGATGTTTTATAGTGTAGTGTAGTTATGCACATATATAATGAGAATAAGTCTTATGAAAATAGACTTGTAAAACATACTTTAAAATACGCTTTTAGCCACAGCTAAGGAGTCAGTGTCTCAGAAACATGTGAGATGGATGACTGCAATGACTGATATTGACACTATGACTTGTAAATGTGGTTGCAGTTAATTGCAAAATGCCTTTTTTTTTTGGACTTCAGAAACACACAGAAAAGGCCTCTGTGTTTCATTCTTTTGATGATGCTTGGAGATTGAATGTAAGTGCTTTTAGAGTAAATCACCATTGGTGGGTTTGTGACCACAGAATCAGATAAGTAGTTTATTAGATTGATTGAAACACACACCCCAATCTTTCTTTGCACCAATAATGACCTGACTGGAAACTGACTTAATTCCCATTAAGTCAGTATAGCAGTGGAGCTAACGGTAACTGGCAACTAATTCTGCAAAGGCATTGTCGTAAAAAGACCACAATAACCCACCTGTTGTGAGCCGTATTCCTCAAAAAGCAAGAAATCTCTGTGTGTGGATGCGTGTAGATTCACAAAGAAAAAGCTAACTTTGTGATAGGAGGGTAGATGACGAAATGGGAGGTTGTATACCAGAAATGTCATTTAAATGTAGCACAATTATTTTCTCCCATAAGTGGCGCATTCTTAGTGCACAACTAACATATACACAAATGTTTAGTATTTGAAATGCAGTGAAGCTTTTCTCCCCTGCCTGTAACCACACAGACACACACATAGCTCCATTTCACCTTTGCTCCTTTGCTAGCCACAAGGTCCCACCATCTCTGACAGCTGCTGCTAAATTTCCCCCCTAATGAGACGCAACTGAGAGGCTGTCGAGGTAACCGTGTTTCAGACCACAAGAGCCCCCGGCATGCATTATGGGACGGCGTGGTGTACAGGAATAACGAGTCATCGGAAGCCAGGTCTGCAGGAGGGGGTTTTCATTATCAAAATGTTGCCTCAGTGCCACTTGATTATGCAGTAAGTGGGGATTTCTCTGAGAAAGAAAGAAGGGGCTGTGTAGGAACAAGAGGCTAAAAAATGTTGGCACTGTTGCTGTGGAAATGTCTATTTTAGGGGCTACTAGATGTTTCGAGCCAGTATGAATGATTGATCCCTTCTTTCTTATCTCACAACCATCAGACTCTCTCTGATTTTTAATTTAATCAGATTATTATTTATCTTATTGTGAGGCTACACTGATATCAGCCAAGTGGTTCAAGATTGTAGGGCTGTTGGATGATTCCAAAATTATAAACACAGAAAAACACAGTTGGTTTCAAGTTTAAGGTCTGATTTTATACTCAAACATTGCGACCAACATCCCAGCATGCCATTCACAATCCGACTTTGTTCTGCTTCTCTGAATCTTGCGACTGTCTTGTTTAATTTCACAGCAGAATTAATTGAATAATTCATTGTTTCAGCCCACTCCTCTTCTCATTTCATAAATTAATTTACTCATTTGCCCCCATCAAATCTCTGCTCCTCTGTGTGACTTGAAACCCTTAGCGCCGTACACATAAGCAGAAAGAGCTGGATTTGATATTTCCCTGGGGAAATTAATAGTACAGTGCGTTTCTGGACCAGGTACAGATTAAAAGCTGGGCCCATTATAAACCCATTAACCTAGTCATTAGGACCAGATCTGGGAAAAGATGGAATAGGTGGGTGTCTAATTTTAGCACAACATTGCAGCTAGTCCTAATTCACCTGCAGGAAGTAAGGTGTTTTCCCTTGAACACACTGTTCCTGTGTCAGCAGCACCCTATTTGAGCTGCCTTAGGGTTAGATGTCAGGAGTTGACATGAAGCAGATATTTAATTATCCATATTTTCTGCTGCATTTATTTTTAAGATCACTGAGTATAGAGATTCTGTAGATTGCTCATGGCTTTTCAAATTTCCAAATCAGCTAATGTGAAAACAGTCAACCTTGAACAAAGTGAGAGTCGGGGCCAAAGCTATTTTAATGATACTGACAGTAATGTTGCCTTAGAGACCAAAAATATCTTAAATTCTAAGTTTTGACAAGAATATTAAACATGGTCTAACATACTGTATTCATCTCTTCTCTCAGAAGCTGGCAAGAGAAGCAGAAAAGTTTCAAATGGAGCACGAGTGGAGGGACGACAGTGAGGTGAGTGAGCTGATCTGATATGTTCATTAACACTGGCTGCGTTACATACAGATCAAGTGGTGCCGTGAACTCCATAAGAGGAGCTGGGGGAAGGGACATGTTATTCATGATCCAATATGATTGCAATAATTGGATGGCAAATCTCATTACAATGACAATAGTGCTGTAATGACTTTATCCTAGATTGAATTTCATAATTTTACATAATAGGCAGAAATAACCAGGCATACTTATGGTGAACAGACACACGTACACACACACTGTTCACTCTCCAATATTGTCCATTAATCATAGTATTAAGAATACATTAGAAGGGAATGTACAGCAAATAATATGAACACACTATTATTTTACTCATTCAATTACTTTGCCCGATTGCTGGTCCAATGACTGCATTGCCCCATTCAACAATGGCAGTCTCTCTGAGAATTACAATGCAGCTCTCTCAGCTATTCACGGCCAGTGATGCTGTGTTTTAGCTCTGGCCTTTTCATAATAAATGCAAATTGCAAATTTCCTTCCCCCTTCTTTGCAATGAGAAAAACGTCACGCTCTTGGCAGCCATTTAACAAATGACAAATGATATTGTGTGTACATACTGTGGTGGAGGGACTTCAAAGGAATTCCACCTCTGCATTTAGCTATTAACGTAAAAAACTATTCAGTGTTGTTTGCCAAACCTTAATGATTCTTTTCCATTAAAAGTTTCCCATTATTCAACTTCTTTCATGCTGTCTTGCACTGAGAAAACGGGGAAGGAAATGTCCTCTCTGGGGATGGATTCATTTATCCGCTGTTTTACTCGATGAGTTTGATATTCCTTTGGCCCGAGATGCTTGGCTAGTGAACGTAATTGATTTTTTGGTTAATGTTATGGGGATTTCTGCAATACGTACCTGAACCAATTAAATATGTCTCTAGCATTGTAAATAGGCACAGGTGGGTGATATGTGTGAATATAGGGACTGAATGCTAAGAGCAAGAGTCATGCTCTTACCAGCCTTACTTGTTCACAACAATGCTGCTGGTAGCTTTACAAAATACGTTGTTTAGCTCAGTTCTCTGTATGGACATGTAACACATTTTACAGAGCAAAATTGTTCATATAATGTGAAATAATACACTGGGTTAGGGTTAGGGTTTGATAGCCACTGCTTATAGTCATAGAAGTATCCATTGTTTTAAGTAAGTTACATCATGCTTTTGTATTTAATTTCATAGAGCCACATAAATTGAAGATGCACTGAGGCCTTTAAGGTCTTCAGAGATGTATATTATTTTAATAGTGATAAGAGTTTTGCAGGGTTTGTTGTTTCTCTCCTCTAATTGTCAGGACGAGAATGTGATGGCCTTGGATTCATAACCACAGCTGTAGTGTAACTTCATGCTGTGTTTGCCTCAGGCTAGCCTCCTGCGCTCAGCTTGGCCCCACATAAACCTGTGTGTACCTTCATTGTCTTTTTTGTGTACTGTATATTAGCCTTTAGCATTGGAATAAATAATTCACGCTGTGCACATTTGTATGAATTGTTTTGTGTTTTTACAAAGAATACAGGCAGTCTGATTTTATGCTGGCCAATATATTCCAGTAAATAATTTTAACATGGGATGTGAGCATCCTGTGTGAGATTTTATATTTTCTAATAATGTGAAACCACATATTCAATCTGCAAATTGCTAAATTTTGAGCTTTGAAATGTTGAAATTAGTTAGCCATGCTTAATAAAAAAATTATTTCAATTTCCTTTTCATTTAGAATACTGTACATACTGTAAAGCTACAAACTAATTTGCCTACTCAAACATGTTCTATCTATTTGTCTCTGTGAGTATTTGAAATACCAAGTGGAGCATCCTGCGTGCTGTGTGTATGTGTGTTAATGCGCATGCGTCTGTTCTCTGTCACCTTTGATAACTGGGCCAGTACTACTGGGCACCTCTCCCTGCTGACTCTAAACACTTAAAAGGTGTGACTGCTGCAACAACACATTGCCTGTGTCTGTTCAGTATAATATGATGACTTTGGCTCTGTTTCTACCTATTATTAAAATACAATGTATATGTATCTGACTTCTTTAAAGAGATCATTTTGATTACATTTATACTAGTTCTTGTTGTCTGCATTTCTTATGTATGAGTGTGTTTGGAGGTGGCACTGTCAAAAATAAAATTGCACATCATAAAATGTGATACTTTGCAACCCATATTAAGTTTCATTTGAGGAAAAAAAAGGTCATCTTTTACGGCTCTATGTGTTTGCAGCTGCTGTGAGTGCTTGGGAAAAGCACCGTAACTGGTGGGAGTAGATCATGTTGGAGTTTTCAGTGAGTGGATGGCATATTGAATGAGTCATTAGATTTTTACAAATGTAGATGCAGAGCTGCAGTTGCACCTGCCAGAAATGGGATCGCAGTACATTACCAAGCATCTTCTTATCCACACTGATTTATCAGTACACATCACACCCACCACAACACCCCACATAAATAATAGCATAGCTTATTTTCCAACCCCTTCCCTTTCTACATGTCATTCTCCGTCTCTCACATTAGTGTTCTTGCACACAGTAGCCTCCCCTGAAGGGTGTGATGGTGTGACCTTAGTGTTATCATCACCTCTTAAGGTGTACATCATCTGCTTTAACAAGACCTGACAGAGAACATCATGGGATAGTCTCCTGTTATCAGCTCTTTTGTGTGTATATTTTTGCTTGTGCATATCAGCAGATTTGCACATATAGTTGTACTTCACACGTCTTCTGAGATAACTCGCTAACAGTCAAAACAACTAAATGGAGAGCAGATGCTTATTGTGTGTTAAGTACAAACTGTTAAAGGTAAGGTAACTAGCAGTGGCAAGAGGAGTCACAAGTCCCTTTTGAGTTGCCATCCAGTCGGCTTGCAGGTCCAGAAGTAGAAGGCAGGTGGTGGGAGTCAGTGAACCAGCTCCATGGCTTCAGGGCATCCTTATGTCAGCAGCTAGGCTAGCTCGTTAGCACCCTGCTAGCCTGTGTACTGACAGGAAGCCCAGCAGTGTGAGAGCAAAACAACACCACTTACCTCACTGATCCTCAGTGTCAAACACAGACTGCCGCCCTTCAAGGAAATATAGTAATATTCAAATTATAGCCACAGTTGCAGATGTAACTTTAAAAAGAAAAACAAGTAGTTTTACTTTACTAAGTTATGTTTTTCTATTTGACTATAGGCATTTTTTAGGGAGTATCTGAAGCATCTGCAGCATCATCTTTCCATCAGTTTAGTTCCTGTTTATCTTCTTTCGTCCTAGACAAAGTACTGTATTTTGAAAACTAATGGCTATATTTCAATGAAATTAGTTGTGGATATGGGGCTAATACTTTTGCGACTTTTGTTAAAATCTCTAGTATGTTCATGCTCCATTTTACACACATTTACACCTACACTATCAAAATGTCAACTTTGCACAGATGGCATATTGCCATTCAGTTTGCTGAGTGTATTCTCCCAGGACAAACCCACTTAATTTTAATGGCGCCATGGCCTTTCCACAACTGCCATCTTTAGAGCAAACTTCACATTTTATCTTCACAACTGCTAAGGCTCTAAAAATAGTAAAAAATTCTAGTATGTTTTTTGTTTTGTCCAGCACTTCAATATTGGATATAACATATATAGCTTCTAGTGAGACTTTTAGTTTATTCCTCATGTAGTATAGTATTCAAAATAGGAGACACCAAATAGGTGTTTGGAGACACTTGTATGTCACTGTACAAGTGTGTTGTGGATTTAAAGAGCAGCTTAACTGCAGTTGGAGATTTCGTTTTTGCTGACCTCCCATGCTTTGACTTTTCACCTTGCCGCAGTGATGTAGAACTGTACACCAGGCTGTGTCAATACGCTCATGATCACTGTTGGGTGTGGTTGCAGATGCAACAAAGCAACCAACCACACTCATGACTGATGCTGTTTGTGGTCAGAGATAAAAGATTAAACCAAAGAGGACATTCAAATTTTGTTCTTCAGCCCAGCATTAAGATGCTTTTCAAAGATGTGCTTCCTCTATTTGGTCATTCATTGCTTATCTTTTCCTGTTTCTCTTTGCAGGTCGACAAAATTGTTTACTACAATGCCAAAGAGGATGTAAGTACAACTTGATCCCACTATTTTAAGTGTGATAAGATATGCAAATTCCCAAATAAAACGCTACAAGCAACCCATATCCAGCCCTCAAGAGACATAAGGTACATGCAGTGCATGTTTTTGGCCCCACACTCAGAAACACATGAGTATGTGTGAAACACTGAATGCCCTCCCCAGGCCTCGGACATCATCTGTCTCCTCTTATACACAGGGATCAGCATCTAATTCCCCTCCACTGTCCCGGTGGGAAAGAACCCACCGCATCCTAATGTCACTCTGTATTTGACTGACAACCCCTCTTCCTCTTTCTCTCTGGATGCCTGGGTTTATGTTTCCCTGTCTAAAATTCAGTTTCTCTAATCTGCCAGTAGTGACATTTCAGTGAATACTCAGCATTGACACCTTGTCATTCACAGTAATAAACTGCATGTACACTATGTTTACAAACACAGGGACCACTCTTAAGCAAAGAAAATGCTTTGCGGGATGGTTTTGAACCTCCAGGTTTTTTCCACTTTTGTGCAGCTTAATCAGACAGAGGAAGAAAAGAGAAAGAACAACCGATATATTCCAGATGATTTCGAGATAGACCCCGACTTCAAACGACTCGTCTCATACAACACCACCGCCGTCCACATCCCTACGGATATATATGAAGGCTGTAAGTTGAAACACACATACACATGCACTGGAGAAAAATGCATACTCTCTCTCTACACGTCCCTGTATTATAAATAGAATTACAGAGCAACCACCACCTCCTGTCCTGCTTTCTGTCTCTCTTTATCCTTGTCACCAGTATCTACTGTATTTTCCCATGATGCAGAGCTCAGCCTCCCAGCTCTGTGTGCAGTGTACAGTTCCACACTAAGGCTAGGCCATTCTAGTCTATATATAACCCAGATGCCAACAACCCAATGGCTAGCACACTGTAACCCCCTCTTTGCCCTGGTCACCAGCTGCTCCTTTCCCTCCTGTTCATTGCTAACCCTGCTGACCTCTCGGGACAGTTGCACAGAATGTCAACGATTCTGCTAATGAAAGTTTTTGCAAATATGAAAGGTTTTGTGGGTGCTTGTACTTGCATGAAACTGTTCTCAGTTATTTTGGTATGTTTATCACACTCTTGCATTCATGCTTTTCTTATGTCACTGCTTTGTTTTTCTGCCTTAACATAATTTTCTCTTCATTCTATTTGTCTTCATCATATGAACATTGTTTTGTGCACAGTTTAATTTTTAACCACATTAGCTGCATGGTATTATAATATGCACTGGTGGATTGAATGAAAATCTCTATAGTCCCCAGAAGATGAACCCTAATGACTTTGGTGATCTCCTAACTTTTGCTCTTACTGCCACAGTGAGGATGGAATTTTTGTTTTTTAGTTAATTGTCTTGTCCACTGATGGATACATCCATGGATTTTTGGACAAATATCCATAGTGCCCAAGAGGATGAACCATAATGACTTTAGTGATCCCTTGGCATTTCATGTAATGCTACCAACAAGTCAAAATGATCACTTAAACATTGAAATATCACCCACAAGATGGTTTGGCAAAACTAATAATACTCTCATTAACTTTAGCTGTAGGCTTACTCATTTAGTGCTAATTAGTAAATGTTAGAACGCTAACACGCTAAACCAAGATGATCAACATGGTGCATAACCTCAAAACACCTCTGTATCTAAGTTTAGCAATGCTGAGCCGCTGGCATGGCTATAACATGTACATATACAATATAATGTGTCCTATGGTTTATGTGCAGTGTGAAACCCCCCTTGGTGACTTTTCTTGCAACACTGCTGCTCTTTCCCTCCCTGTTGAATGAGAAATGTTGACTATGTATGTGCACATTTTTAAGACTAGCAGCGTGGAATAGTATTTGCAAAGGAGAGAGGGTTACTCTAGTTACATATTCACGTGCATCATACACTGTTTGGTACTAATCAAACACTGAGACAAGTGGTTCAAGTGCTCTTGGGCACTTTTTCAGTACTTTTTTAGGGACTGATTCTCTGATTTCTTTTCTTTGTTATGCTATACCTCCCATGCCTACCTTATTGCAAGCACTATGTGGTATGATTACTTCTCTCACATTCAGCTGATCTAAAGTTAATCACATAAAAGAGCTATAACTTAATCGGGATAATTGTACATCCCTTCCTCCTGGAGCCTCTCCCTGCATGTGTTGGACATAAAGCAGGGAAACACACTGGATAGGCCACCAGTCAAACTAGATTTGGCTGACAGTAATGAAATCTGGTATAATAAATAACACTATTACAGAATGTGGCCAACCTCAAACTCTTTTAGACAAGTTTTTAGAGCCACATAATCAGAGTTTTATCCATTATGATCTTACAGTGTTGTGAAATAGGCTTTACCGTAAAATTAACATTAGCCTCAGGGTAATGCATCAGTACCTTTAGTTATTGCAGCAGGTGGTAAGCCAGGTTTTATCACTGCATGTGTCTTTGGAAGGCCAGAATGAAAATGATACAATACATGGTGGTGTGTTTTCGTTATAGAGAGAGGTCACTGTTTTAGTTATCTATATTTATGTGGCTGAGTATGTGATGGACTATTTTAAACTCCTTTGAGTGAAAAAGGTACTCCCTGGATGCATATTAGTTCACAGTGTGTTGCCACGCTATTTATTTACCCATACTGATTTGTCCTTTTGCCAGGGATATGAAAAAAGGCAATATGTTAAACAAGTACAAGCTTCCTTGCAAGAGATAAATGGACTAATGTATGGGTGGATGGCTATTACACAGAAACCAGAGGAGAACATGCCCACACACACACGATATACACACACACAAACATATCCTCTGGGTTCTTATTCTAGGACACTAATGAGTAGAATTCAAGGACAGAGTGACATACACACAAATATAAGGATGCAGACATGTCTTTATACACGCATACAGTCTGAAACATACAGTACAGGTCATGTCCTTCCTTGAGGACACACACTCATACCATACACACACATAGGCTTCAGAAAATGGAGACAACATGAAGGAAAGCTTTTGCTTAAACAAAAGAGTGTATATTAAAGTACAAGTGACATGTGATCTTGTGAATCCTGATGAAATCTAGATCAATCCAAAGAAACGAAATAGCCAGAGTTGCTATAGCAACACTAAATCATCATCTCACGAACATGGCACTTCATAACTAAAATTATATAATTTCTCATGTTATGCACTACATTTAACAACACACAAATTTGGCAGGCATCAAAACAGTTAAATAATTTCCTCATACGCAGGCATGAGCTAATAGCCTCCACGGCATTGATTGAGCATTTAATATCAATTTCGTTAATGATCGTCACACTGGGTTTGCTAAATGCAGTGAACTCAGTCACATGACTTTAATGGCCTTATACAGCGAGTCACTTCCACGTAAGCTGGACTATAAATGTGCAGAGTGGCGGCCCTCTGAGGCCTCTGACTGTGCAGACATTTTTGTCATTGCCAAATGGCCAAATGCACTCAGTTATTTTTACAAGCAACAGTTATAATGATGAAAGGTTGGGAAATGGGGTGGGGTGTTTCCTAGTGTGATTCATCAGTCTGTCTTTTGCTCTGATTATGACCTCTATCTTTTTCTTTCTTTCTTATTCTCCTATTTCTTCTGTTGTTGATGTAGAGTCTCAATGGTCCGTCAAAATGTACACAATCAAACCATTCTCTTTCTTACAGAGAGTTAGATTGAAAAGATTGGTACTACTCTCCTGTATCCGATAAATATGACGCTACATCCAGCATGTCAAAAGGTTACAAAATCCACTTACCAGCACCTCTAAAATTCAATAATTAATTTTCCCCCCTTTTGTTTTTTAAATTCTATATAAAACAAGCTTTGAAAAGCTGTTTCCATCTATTTCTAGTCGATGTGCTAACTTAAACTAAACTGCCGCTGCCCATAATTTTCCAGCTTCTCCTTTTGGAATATTTGTGTATAGAAAATAAGTATTTTTCGCCAATACCCAGTGTGGCCACTACGCCAAAAGTACATCAAAGCAAAGCAATTTGGTCCGGCCGCTGTCCGGCAAGAACTAATTATAGCAACTTTCTGTAAAACTACAACTTTCTGTTTTTATGTTTTGGTTTGTGTACAGATAAAACAAACAAGACATGCTAATTACTGAACTTTAGAGGTGCTGGTATGCATATTTTATGCTAAGTTACGCTAAGCAAATTGCTTCATGTGTCTTGTTGCATATTTAACTCACAGACATGAGAGGGGTAATGAGCTTCTCATCTATCTCTTGACAAGAAAGCATTTTTTGAAGGGTGGGTTTACCTTAATTGAAAAAGAAACCTCTAATGGTATCACTATGCAGATTGTTTGGTTGGAATGATTTAGAATTATAGATATAGATTATTATACATTTTATTCATCTCAATTGAATTGCAGAGGTGGCAGCAATCTCAGAGACAAATATCTCAAAACCTGGCCAATTCTTTTACCTTTTTTCATACTTTTGAGGAACTGCAGCATTCTGGGCATATAGGGTGTGTGGCATCTGTTTGATGTCTTCCAGCTCTCAGACAGCTGGTGGAGGGTGGGGTCTGGGTGGAGCTCTAGTAAGCGAAGTAGCGAAGCTAGGCTGGTGTTTGCGTTGGTGCTCCCTCTCTCTTACTCTCTCTCTGTCTCCAAGGACAGGCTGCCACATTGATGCCACTCCGGCTGGCAGGCACTGTCAGCGTTGCCATGGCAACGTGTATTCGAGTGAGTGTAGAAGCAGAGACACATGCTTGGACACGCCCTGGTGTTCTGTCTTGTTGTGTGGAGGAAGGAAAGTTAACTTGATTAGGGGACTTTGTCTAGACAATGCTGCCGTCCGTGTGGCTTTTAGTGATGCTGAAGGAGAGATGTGTCACCTACCTCTTCTTCTTTGATTGTGGTTGACTTTCTCCACAACCCCCACCCTTTTTTATTCTTCCCTCTTCCTCTTTTTCCCTTCTCCTTGTTTTGTTTTTGCTTAACCCTAACGCCTTCCCTACATATTTTGTCATGTTTGCTCATTTTTCATTCCTCCTTAGCGCCTTCATTACTTCCATCTTTTCCTCTACATCTCTACCCTCTCACTCCACCCTCCCCTCCCCTTCCCTCATCCCTCGCTCCACTTTATTAAGGATATTAATAGTGGGGTGTGTGGAGACAAATGCGCCACTGTCTTTCTCCCCCGCATTAGTCCTGCTGATTGGAATCTATTCTCCCTGCTGATCCAGTGTGGGTGGTCAGACTGGGATATATTATCATGTGTGCGTGCATGCACACTGGAGATGAATCAGAGTTTGTCTGTGTGTGTGAACGTGTTTGAGAGAGAGAGAGAGAG